TTGTAAATAAATGTAAATAAAACTGTGAAAATATTGTCTTTGTTAAAATTTATATGTTTATATGTATAAAAATGTGATGCTGGAAAATTTGGTGATCAAAAGTATCCAAAAGCGTTTGGTGATTAAAAGTATCTTTTTTTGGTGATCAAAACAATTGACACCCGAAGAAATATCGGATCATTCAACAGTATCGAAAATGATTGAAATATCTGAAGATCAATCAGAAGCAAATAAAATTCTTGAAACATTTATCATTGTTTGGCTAGATGCAAATGTTAATAAAACAAAAGATAACGAAGAGACATATAAAGCTTTACGTAGGAGTATTAATTATCTTAAAACATTTGATAATATGCAAGAAAGTGAAACTTATATTCAAAGTATTCATCGTGAGAAAATTATTTTAATTGTATCTGGTGGATTTGGTATGGAAATTGTATCATGAATTCATGATTTTGAACAAATTAATAGTATTTATGTTTATTGTGATGATAAAGCACGTCATGAACCGTGGTCCAAGGATTATTCAAAGGTTAATATCCATTCGAAAAATTGCAAAATTGAAATTTCAGATTTTCGACGTAAACTCATTCATATGAATGATATTGTGTTTCTTCTAGGTCAAATCAGTGATCAACAAACGAAATCAATTAGTCGAGGAGATCATTGAAGATCAAAAAATTCGTAATAAAACTGAAGATTCTCTTCCAATGAGTATTTTAACTCGTACGGCAGTAGCTAAGGAAACAACAGCGAAAGATATTGCAAAAGAAATGGGTTCAATTTTATGGTTTCAATTGTTAATCGATGTTTTGTTACGTATGAAGCATACTGATGATGCTAAAACAGTATTAATAGAAACTTGGCGTGAGAATTATACTGGAAATTCTTCTGAACTGGATATAATTAAAGAATTTGAACAAACATATAAACGAGAAAAAGCTGTTTGGTGGTACACTCGTGAATCATCTCTTTATCGTATATTGAATAAAGCATTAAGAGAACAATCAATTGATATGATATTTTCATTTCGATTTTTTCTAACTGAATTATCAAAACAAGTTTCACAATTTTATAAGGATTATATGCAGCAATTAAAAGCATCAAATACGGTATGTGAATCGATTCATGTTTATCGTGGTCAAATTATTGCTAAAGAAGAACTTGAACAAATGCAGAACAGTATTGGTGGTTTTATCTCAATCAATAGCTTTTTTTCAACAAGTCGAAATAGATTAAAAGCACGAAACTTTGCTATGGGATCACCTGTTACCGAAAAACTTCGTCGTATATTATTTAAGATTGAAATTGATCCTCGTTTACCAACAAAACCTTTTGCTGATATTGAAGGGATTAGTTATATTCCAGATGAACAAGAAATTTTATTTATGCTTTGATCAATATTTCGTATTAATAAAATTAAGCCCGATGAAAAAAATAAATTATCAATAATAAATATGAATCTTTGTAGTGAAGATGATTTTGAATTAAAAGAATTATTTGCATATTTAAAAAAGATATTGGAGACGAAGCATCAATGATAACATTAGGAAATATTTTACTTCAAATGGGTGAATATGATAAAAGTGAAAGAATATTTTTACGAATGAATCATCAAGAAGGACTTATTAGTGTTGCAGAATTAAAAGGAAATTTTTATTTAGCTATGAAACAATATATACAGGCGATTGTTTGTTACAAATAATCGTTAGAACTTCGTCGTAAATTACTTCCCGAATCACATCCTGACATTGCTAAAAATTATAGTGCAATTTCAATGGCCTACGAATTTTGGACAAAATATCCAAAATCTATTGATTATTATCAGCAAGCAATTAAACAATATCAACGTACATTGAAAGATAATCACCCATTGATAACACAAATTATTAATAATTTACAAAAGCTTCAACATCGAACAAAACATTAAATAATCGATTAAGACATTTGTTTTTCAAAAACTTCTACTAATGCAGTTCCATTAGAATCGAAGTATAAAATTCATATGTGTTCTTGAGTCTCACTATAATAACAATAGCTATCTACCATAATATACTTTTTCCATATATAATTATATCGTTTTGTTTTATATAACACATTACTTTATGTATTGGTGAAAGTACAGTGGACTTTCGCAATTGAAAAAAACTCGAAGAACTTCCAACATTTGAGAATAGCTACCATAACTAGTTTCACGACGGCTAAGTCGATCTTCGGATGGCTTACAAACCAATAAGATAGAAAAAACTCAAAAATTTGAAGGGTGAGAGTGAGTATTATGTATAAGAAATCCTACGACCTAAGCTTCGACCTTTCTGAAAGGGACAATCGTTAGAGGTTTAGAGAGTGTTTACATAACAATAATAAATTTATTGAGCATATTTTTTTTTTAGTAACATTTTAGTACATTCGTATGTTACTCATTTTTACATTTCATTCAAAACTACTTTTCGTACATTTAGAGTAACATTTTTTTCTCTGTTATTGAATAATTCAGTGTTTATCTTATATAAAAAAGCAAAAAAAATTTAAAAAATTAAAAAATACATAAAGACGGCTGATTCATATTACAAAAGTACCGAAAACCCCCGACCCTAACCTACATCTCGATCAGAAACTCGAAAACCATCTCGATCGGACCTCGAACAGCCATGTCGAGCGGAACCGAGATTAGAATCGTGTTCCTCATCCTCAATTCACCTAGAGGAACATTTCTTCTGCATCTGCTCAGAACCGGAATATTTTAATTTGTTTTTCCGATCGTTGTATTTAATCGCAACAAACTGGATGGTGACAGCACCCGCAGAGAATACTTGTTTATGAATTTGGTTGAAGGTTAGCGGAAGGAGTCCTGAGCTGTTTTTTATACTGTTGTTCAGCTGAGTTAAGAGTTATCTGAATCGGAGGTGAAATTTGCTTATTTTTTTATAGCTTCTGTTATGATAAACAAGATACTAGTTACTTACTTCATGTAGCTCCAAGGTATGCTTGTGAAAAGAAACTATAGCTGCTGATTATTAGAGACATAAGTTTCAGGAGGAAGTTTGTCGCCTCCTCGGCTTTTCAAATTATCAGTTTTCTTCAGTAAAAATTATTTATTCTGCTGGCGAAGTAGAACTGCTTTGATGTGTAACTTTATGTTTTTTGGTGCAACCGAAATAAAAATTAATCAGTTACGTTTTTCTCTCGTTTTTCACTAAATTATTTTAATCACTCGATTGATCTGTAACTGAGTAAGTTTCTGTACTTTGTAATCAGAGATATATTTCTATGTCAAATGATGATACGATGAATAAATGACGTTTCATTATGATAACAGATAAGTGATCACTATCTAATATAAACGTAATTCTATTTCAGTTGTACAACATGTCTTATGGCATTCGAAATATCTGGGAAATATTTTTCCAAATTTTAGAGGAACAAGAAGAAGTATATACTTTAAAAATTACAGTGTCGGTTTTGCTTTTCCTTCTCTTTGATCTCACACTTCATTTGCAAATAATAGAATGACATGAGTAAGAAAAGCAAAATTTTTTATTTTATAGAGAGCTTAATTTTATTGCGACATCATTTATTCCATTTTCGGAAGAAGACTAAACTCACTATGAATTTAGTCCATATTCTGGCAACATCGAGAATCAAAAAAAATAATTAAACAGTACCCATTTTCATTTTTGCTGCTAACTTCAAGTGTACGCGTTGTACTATGTACTGATCTATTTTTCAGAAAAAGTTCCTTCTTAGTTTTTGAAATATTAGACGTCAATATCGCTGCAAAATTGCCAAAATTTATGCTTTCCAGTTCCATTAGAAAATTTCACTAGTTTTAAATGACCACCAAAGCTTTCGTGATTGCCCATCGGACAATGGTATTCAGAGGGAGCTTATCTCCAAATTTTACTTTTCCTAGTGAAACTACTAGAATTGAACTCGAAAAACGAGGGAATATCGTTGACGCTGTCGTAGATTTTACTATCACTCGCTTCTGTAAAATTTCTGTTGTTAATAAATTATCAAAACTGTCTGTACTGATGATGGATCGTTACTCAGTGGAAAGCTCTACAATCAAGTTTTTCGGATAAGTATTTCGTCAAAAATTAACAATGAATACTTTAACTGCTAATAGAACTATTTAGATATCCAAATACGTCGTTGAAGATCCAGATGCACTAGTTTGAAAACAATTTAAATGAATGCAACAGTTCATCTTGTGAGAGAAAAACCCACAATAATTACCGTCTGGAATTATGAATCATAGTAGAACTGTTATTCAAATCAAGATGGTGAGGATTTATTGACAATTACCCTAACAAACACGCTAATTACAATGGGCTTTTGCAATTTTTTACTTTTTATTCAGCGGTGACGGGACGTTCACCTGTTTCTGCGGGGGTAGGTATCATATCATGAAGACACAGCGGGATAATATATTTAAAATACTGAGTAATCCTTTTCCTCTCCGTATGTCTCTGTCACTATAATATGTCTTGTTATGATTTACTATCAAGGGGGAAAAAGCATACTTCTGTACTTCTGGTACTTCTCCGTACTTCTTGATACTTCTTCGTACTTCTTCGTACTTTTTTGTACTTCTCCGTACTTCTGAAGTACGAAGTACGAAATACGAAATCCCGTATTTCGTACTTCGTACTTCAGAAGTACGGAGAAGTACAAAAAAGTACGAAGAAGTACGAAGAAGTATCAAGAAGTACGGAGAAGTACCAGAAGTACAGAAGTATGCTTTTTCCCCCTTGTTTACTATACTACTCTCAATACTCTCCTTTTTTACGTGCTTCTCCTGTATTCAGTTATATACAGACTTCCATATGTAAATAACCCTGTTTCCCAGAATATCAATATAACATAAATCCCCGTACATTGCATACTTCAGACTACAATCCAAACAAAGTCTCCATACACTATTCAAAACCAAACCGACCATCCATCTCATCCAATCACAACCGCAACTCATAAAGAAAAACATTTCTACAAGCCTAGACACCTAAACCAAACGATCACACCAACCGCTGGAGCCCCGGGATCTCGCTGTTCGTAACCGACTGCACAAATAATCCTTTGAAATCTCACAGGACCCTCCTGAAACTTCATCCGATCGCGCTAAAAATCTTACTAGCCACATTTGAACGATATCTCAGGATGATACTTTACCACTTATAGGGTTTTCAAAATTTATATCCCAGGTTTTACGTACGACTTTTACTCTTTTTTATATCTCCAGAAGGAAAAGGTAGGAAGACAGAAATAGATTACCATTCTGAGATGTCCTCCCAAGTATCTGTAGTAAAATTTTGAGCCTGATCGAATAAAGTTTTCATGGAGTCATAATGTACAACATTGAAAACTAGCACAAATACAGCATAGGCGAAGATGCCCCAAAGCTGGACAAAATGCATCGATGCACCATGCTTTATTTCGGGCAAGCTCAATTGGACCTTTGCTTTCACGTTTATCAACAAGGTAAAAAAGAGCATCGGTACCCTTATAGACCAGACTAAGCTAAGCTTTATCATCGATAAACGATACCGAGCTTTTGTCGAGGATGCGTTGTCCTTTGCAGCTTGAGTTATTCAAACCCTATTTAATCTTGACAAAATGTAAAGGGCAAGTTCATTGAACAAGTTAAGATAGTTCGCGTAGCATAGAAGTAAATAATATTTGGGATATCCTTAAATTTGTATGAACTTTGAAAAACTGTTGAAAACCCTGTTTTGACAGAAAACTAATCTATTTTGAATTTGTTTCGAAAAACGTAGATCTTCATAAGAGTCAGTAGTGTAATTAAAGGATGTG